ATTTAGCACTTTCCCCTCCTACCAGGGTTTAAGCAGTTATCCTTAAAGGCATGAGACAGAAATGCCCTCCTGATCCAAATCTGAAAACAGAACAAGTGTTACAGAAACATTTCTGAAACGTGACAAAATCAGAATGAGACTACAGTCACATTTGAGAAGATTGTGTTTCTACACAACTTAAAGATGATAATGTAGGGCGTTACAAATGCAGTGGTTAAGTGGTGTAAAAATAACTCCCCAACTTCTAACGCCTTTCAGCACACCCATCAACAAGTGCCCATGATTCTCTGGCAAGCTACACACTTCCTATCTGGACACACGTGTATCCAGGTGGGAACATTGAGGAATTAAATGGGATATTTAACACCTGCCAAAGTACTCAGCAAAGTACTTTTGCTGAAACCACTATATGGCTATATGTCAGTCAACTCCCAAAACAGCATTTTACAGCACACTGTGGCTTTTCAGACCCGTTAATCAGCAAACCAGCTTGATGTTAAGCCAAGGATCCCTACATTTCAAAACATAAAGCAAAAGATGAAGGGGAGGGAACCTTAAAAGAAGCAGAGGAATTTCTATCGTTAATTACTTGTGCTGGAAAACAAATCTTCAAATTTAGATAGCAGGATTTTTTTTCCCACTAGAGAGACTGTTCGTTGGCCTAATTTGTGATAGAAAAACCCTTCTTACATATCCATTTCCATGGGTTCAAATGTTCCACATTCATGCATTATAGCTGAATGTCGTTCAAAGCTTCAAAGGAGATCCTACAGTTATAATTTATTAGTCTTATTAGTGTTGTTTTGTTGCACACATCTACAATGTGTGTTAAAAAAAATCTTTTAAATTAAAAGTTTGAGTATTTCAGACCAGAAGGTGGATGATTCAGCGAGTTAATACCGATACAAAGTGCACAAACTAAGTGAAAACAATCTGCATCACTGAGAATTTAATGAGCTCTGGATGTTACCACATTGAGGCTTTTCAACAAATTTGCAGTTTGTGCAACATTTAATTTCCTTCACCTTCACACATCTCTGTGTGCCATAAGAGAAGAAGTCATAAGCAGATACAGAAGGCAGTTACTTTTATCTTTTCCATGTCAAATGCCTCAGGTAATAAACATGAATCCTTCAACGATTTGTATTGATGTGCACAAGTTGTTAATGACACAGATGCCTCCAAAACAGACATCTCCCCATAAAAATTGCATGGTTTTTTTTCCCTTTCAGCCAGTGATGCAGGTTTTCTTTTGGGCACTAAAACCCCCATAGAGACAACAAAGTGCCTACATAATGGAACCAGCATATCCTGCTCATCTATGATAATAAGTGATGTCTGAATATAAATATGATGCAGCTAGGCTTTTATCATACAATCAAAGCCTTTTTTGAAATCATTAAAAGTAGCTTGAGAATTGACCACAGACACTTTTTTAGGGGACTCAACTTCAAAAGACAGCCCCGTGGAACTGTCATCATTTTAACACTCATCATTTTATGCTGCAGGTAATATAATGCATGTATTTAAAGGTGCCCACTGATGAAATGTTCCGTTTCTGACTGGTCCTGAAATTGATTCAAATATCTGATGC